AAGCAATTTATGCAGAAGATCTAGCTAAGAACATGGATGAAGGTGACTACACTAAACAACATCACAGATTTTCCATGGAAACAAAGCAACCTTATAATGGAAGGAGATGCCATCTAGGCCTTCATAGCTAGAGAGGAGAAGTCAAAGTCAATGCCTAGCTTCAGAAAGTATAGCCTGACTCTCTGACTCTCTCTCTCTTTTTTTTTGAGACAGAGCCTTGCTCTGTCGCCCAGGCTGCCAGACTAGAGTGCAATGTGTTAACTTGGCTCATTGCAACCTCCATCTCCCAGGCTCAAGCGAATCTCCTGCCTCAGTCTCCTGAGTAGCTGGGATTACAGGCATGCACCACCACGCCCAGCTAATTTTTATATTTTTAGTAGAGACGGGGTTTCACCATGTTGGTCAGGCTGGTCTTGAACTCTTGGCTTCAAGTGATCCACCCTCTTTGGCCTCCCAAAGTGCTGGGATTACAGGCTTACGCCATTGTGCCTAGCCTGGCTGACTTTCTTAATAGGGGATAATGCAGCTGGTGACTTTAAGTTGAAGTCAGTGGTCATTTATCATTCTGAAAACCCTAGGGCTCTTAAGAATTATGTTAAATATTCTCTGCATTATATTCTAGAAATAAAACAGCAAAGCGTAGATGACAGCCATCCGTTTACAGCATGGTTTACTGAATATTTTAGGCCTACTGTTGTGACCTATTGTTCAGAAAAAAAGTTTCCTCTTAAAATATTACTACTCACTGACAATTTACGTAGTCACCCAAGAGCTCTGATGGATATGTACAAGGAGATTAATGTTGTTTCGTGCCCTCTAACACAACATCCATTGTACAGCCCACAGACTAAGGGATAATTTAGAATGTCAAGTCTTATTGTTTAGGAAATACATTCATGGCCAGGTGCAGTAGCTTATGCCTGTAATCCTAGTACTTTGTGAGGCTGAAGTGGGCAGATCATAAGGTCAGGAGTTCGAGACCAGCATATTGGACATGATGAAACCCCCTCTCTACTAAAAATACAAAAATTAGCCGGGTGTGGTGGCTCACACCTGTAATACTGGCACTTTGGGAGGCTGAGGCAGGTGGATCACCTGAGGTCAGCAGTCTGAGACCAGCCTGGCCAACATGGTGAAATACTATCTCTTTAAAAAAAAATTTTTTTTAAAAAAGAAAAAAAAATACAAAAATTAGCCAGGTGTGGTGGTGCATGCCTGTAGTGCTGGCTACTCAGTAGGCTGAGGCAGAAGGATCACTCGAACTTGGGAGGCTGAGGTTGCAGTGAGACGAGATTGCACCACTGCACTCCAGCCTGGGTGACAAAGTGAGACTCCATCTCAAAAAAAAAAAAAAAAAAACCCAAAAAACAAACCAAAAAAACCCGCCAGGCACTTTTTTTTGGAGAAAAAAAAGGGATACATGTATAAGGCTATAGCTGCCATAGATAGTGATTTCTCTGATCGCTCTGAGCAAAGTAAATAGAAAACCTACGGAAAGGGTTTACTATTCTTGATGCCATTAACAACATAAGCAAGTCATAGGAGAAAGTCAAAATATTAACATTAATAGAAGTTTGGAAGAAGCTGATTCCAACCATCATGAATGACATTGAGGGATTCAAGAATTCAGTGGAGGAGGAAACTGCAGATGGGGTAGATATAGCAAGAAAATTAGAAGTAGACCCTGAAGATGTGGCCGAATTGGTGTGATTTAATGATAAAATCTGAACGAATGAGGAGTGTCTCCTGTTGTCCAGGCTGAAGTCCAGTGGTGTGATCATGGCTTACTACAGCCTTCAACTCCTTGGACTCAAGCCATCCCTCCCAAGTTGCTGGGATCACACGTGTGAATGACGGTGCCTGGCTACGAAATGGTGTTTTGAGATGGAATCTACTCTTGGTGAAGATGCTGTGAACATTGTTGAAATGACAACATAGAATTTAGAATATTACATAAACTTAGTTGATAAAGCAGCAGCAGGGTTTGAGAAGATGGACTCCCATTTTGAAAGAAGTTCTACTGTGAGTAAAATGCTACCAAACAGCATCACAAGCTGCCAGAGAAATCTTTCATGAAAAGAAGAGTCAATCAATGCAGTAAACTTCGCGATTGTCCTATTTTTAAAAATTGCCACAGGCACCTTAACCTTCATCACCTGCCACACTGATCAGTTAGCAGTCACCAACATTGAGGCAAGACCCTCCACTAGCAGAGAGATTAGGACTCCCTGAAGGCTCAGATTATTATTAGTATTTTTTAGCAATAAAACATGTTTTAATTAAATACTTTTTAGACACAATGCTACTGCACACTTAATAGACTACAAGTAGTGTAAACATAACTGTAATATGCATAGGAAATCAAAATGTGTGGGACTCGCTTTAGTGCAATATTCAGTTAATCGCGGTGGTTCAGAACTAAACCCGCAGTATCTCTGAGGTTTGCCAGAATACCTATATTTTTAATTTTGTTGCACTACAATAAATATAGGAGTTTATACATTACTCACTAATAAAAGTAAGTTTCTCTGCTGACATGGAGGAGAGTATTGTCAAAGAAACCCAACAACAATGGCACCTCTCCTGCCAAGCAGGGAAATTTTACACCAGGGATCTCCAATATGAAGCTCAACCTTAAGCCTAGAGTGTCTGGCCCACTGAGAGTTATAATGTATACATCACCCTAACATAGTTCACATAAATCTTAACCAATCAATAATATGAAAAGTTTGATCAAAACATTTTCTTCTGAAAAAGATAAGCCACGTTTGAGGCCTCTTTGAGGCAGGGAGGAGAGTTTCCACAGTTAATGCAACTCAAAATAGGAGGTTGGTATGCCCAGTTTCCATCGCCTCATTTATCACGAGAGTTTGTGTTTTGACTTTTGGAAGTCAGTTTTATTGCATGATATAATGGACAAAATAATGAAGATTGCAAATTTTCTTTATGCTTATTTTTTTAACCACTGCTGCTTTATGGATAGTTAAGAAGCTAACGCAACAGAAGTAGATTTAGTTTATTTTAATTTAGTTACGTGGCTAAGTCCTATAAATTTTTGAAGAAATGTGTTGAAGTGTTCTTAAAATTATGGAGTCTTAGATCCTACTTGCTAGACTTCCAAAGGCCCCAAAAGGCTGCACATACTTTTCTTTGATGTTACATAACATAATGTAACATCCTCTATGTCATACACCAGTTTCTCTACATAGCTGATGCAACTAACATAATACAAAATCCTCTGTGTCCATTATAAAAGTAATTGTTTTGTATTCAGATTCAAACTTGACAAGTGAATTGAGAAGATGGTACCCAAGACTTGTTTATTTTTTTTCTTTTCATTTCTTTTTGAGATAGTGTCTTGCTCTGCTGCTCAGGCTGAAGTGCAGTGGCACGATGACCTCAGCTCACTGCAACCTCCACCTCCCAGGTTCAACTCATTCTCCTGCCTCAGCCTCCTGAGCAGCTGGGATAACAGGTGCGTACCACCACACCTGGCTAATTGTTGTATTTTTAGTAGAAATAGGGTTTCACCATTTTGGGCAGGCTGGTTTTGAATTCCTGGCCTCAGGTGATCCACTTGCCTCAGCCTCCCAAAGAGCTGGAATTACAGGTGTGAGCCACCATGCCCCGCCAACTATTTTGTTTTTAATGCTGAACTCTTGAGCTCAAAGAATTTTAAAGTCACATAGTTATTTAGAGAAAATAAGTCCTGATTTTGAAAGCTATTTCACAGATTTTGTTGGCTCTAAGTTGTATTCTCTGCAACTTTGAGATACAACCACAGGACGTGTGTGATGATTCCTGTGATTATAAAGCCCCAGACCTATTAGAATGGCTCAATTTCATAAGAAACCACTTGTGCTAAAACAAACTACACCATTAACACACAATAGAAGTGAATATCCTCTTTTTTTTTTTTTTTTTTTTTGAGACGGAGTTTCGCTCTTGTTACCCAGGCTGGAGTGCAATGGCACAATCTCGGCTCACCGCAACCTCCGTCTCCTGGGTTCAGGCAATTCTCCTGCCTCAGCCTCCTGAGTAGCTGGGATTACAGGCACGTGCCACGATGCCCAGCTAATTTTTTGTATTTTTAGTAGAGACGGGGTTTCACCATGTTGACCAGGATGGTCTCGATCTCTTGACCTCGTGATCCACCCGCCTCGGCCTCCCAAAGTGCTGGGATTACAGGCTTGAGCCACCGCGCCCAGCATAATTTTTATTTTTTAAAGACAGGGTTTCACCATGTTGGTCAGGCAGGTCTTGAACTCACGACCTCAGGTGATCCACCCGCCTTGGCCTCCAAAGTGCTTGGATTACAGGCATGAGCCACCATGCCTGGTCAGAAGTGAATATCTTAAGGTTAGCTGTGAAATGGAAATACATATTAATCTGTATACTAGTTCCCTCTTATCCCTGGTTTCATTTTCCCCAGTTTTAGTTACCAGTGATTCGGTGCAATAAGATATTTTGAGAGAGCGAGAGCATACATTCACATAACTTTTATTACTGTAATAATTTTTCTGTGTTATTATAATTATTGTTAATCTCTTACTCTTTCTAATTTATAAATTATATATAGGGTTTGGCTAGGTGTGGTGGCTCACGCCTGTCATCCCAGCACTTTGGGAGGCTGAAGCCGGCAGTCTCTACTAAAAATACAAATATTAGCTGAGTGTGGTGATGGACACCTGTAATCCCAGGTACTCGGGAGGCTGAGGTGGGAGAATTGCTTGAACCCAGGAGGCGGAGGTTGCAGTGAGCTGAGATCATGCCATTGCACTCCAGCCTGGGCAACAAGAGCAAAACCCTGTTTCAAAAAAAAAAAAAAAATTATATATAGGGTTTGGTACCACGTGGTTTCAGACATCCACTGAGGGTGGATACTACCGTGGATAAGGTGGAACTACTGTAATTATTTACATCAATTCTGCTCCTGTCTTATTCCAGAATGCCATCTCAGAATACTATAGACTGTGCCTTAAACAACATAAATTTCTTACAGTTTGGAGGTGGGGAAGTTAAAGATCAAGGTGCCAGCAGATCCGGTGTCTGGTGAGGGTATGCTTTGCGGTTTGCTGTCTTCTCCTTGTATCCTCACCTGGCAAGAGAGCAGAGAGAATGATCATCTCTTTCTTGTATCTCTACTTATAAGGGCACTAATCCCATTCATGAAAGTTCCACCCTCATGACCTATCTCCCAAAGGCCCCACCTCCAAATACTATCACATTGGGGATTTAGTCTCCAACGTAGGAATATTTCGAGGGACACAAATATTGAGTTCATAGCAGCTCTTCTCTTCCATTCCCATAGAGAGGAGGGCTCTGCCTTGACAAACCAATTCATTTGTGATTTTGTGATTCCAACTCAGAAGGAAAGAGAGCTGGGGCAAAGCATCTGAAGCACACAGCCAGGGTTGGAGAAGAGTAGGGCAAGTTTTAAAAGAGACACAAAAACAACTACTGTGTGTGCAAGAGAAGTGGATGACAGAAAAAGTGTTTAAGATATACTGTTTGCTTTGTGTCTATTTCACTGTGTTCAGCTATGAACACTGTCTTACTGTGTTGCCCAGGCTGGAGTGCCATGACGTCATAGCTCTCTGCAGCCTCAATTTCCTGGGCTCAGGTGATTGTCTCACCCCAGCGTCCAGAGTATCTGAGACTGCAAGTGCGTGCCACCACGCCTATTTGCGGATATTTTGTAGAAATGGGTTTCATGATGTTGGCTGGGTTGGTCTTGAATTCCTGGGCTCAAGCGATCTTTCCTCCTTGGCCTCCTGAAGTGCTGGGATTATAAGCATGAGCTACAGTGAGCAGCCTGAGAATTTTTTGAAAGTCATTTTGAAACTCGGTTTCAAGTTCTTGCCTGTGTCTTTTGAATATGGCACTACTTTAAGACTGGAAAATGTGGATCATAGATTTATAAATACTACACAAAATACTAATCACAAACTACAGAAATTTCTGGATGAATTTTGAGTAATGTGGGTGGTTACCTAGCTATTTTACGAAACTGCAGAATTAAAGGCCTTGATTTGTAAAAATAACCTCATCAGATTGTTACGATTTTAAAATAAAAACACCTTCACACCTCCTAGAAGACTCCAAGGTGTAAATATTCTCTTTAAATGTACCAGTAAATAGGCTTAGTTCTAGAACAGTATTTTTTTTTAACAAATAAAGTTTATTGTACTGTTTTGGGGATGGCATATTTATTACTGCTAAAAAAATTATTTTGAACTGCTAATGGGCTATAATAACAAACATCAGTAATAAGAATTTAAAACATTCATAAAACTGAGCTGAAAACATGCTCCCAGGCCTAGAGGGCAGTAAGAAATCTGGCCGATATACTGTATAACTTGAACATTCAGTTCTTAAGTAATTTACAACATGTTTTAGCCCTCTTTTAATAATAATAATTAAAAGGTAGGAATATCTTGTATTCCTCCAGCCAGTTTGATGTACTAAAGTGCTTTCACAAAACTAAGACCATGGTGCTAATTCAATATAAAAGGTTGAAAAAGGTGTTCCTTCTTTTCTGCAGAAAGTTAATGTTCCCTCTCCATAGTTGTATTTGCTCAAAGATTAAACTTTGCATCTGGGAAGTCCTTGAGTAGAAGTGTCTCAGAAATAGAAAGCCTGGACTCTCAAGGCTTCATTCCTTTGGCCAACATCCCTGGAGCCTCTCCTTTGTGCAAAACACAGGAGAGAGTGCCAGGGCGGCACACAACGGTCCGCAGAAGGCAGCTCCTGCTGTGAGGGGCCAGGGAAGGGCGCAACTAGGAGTGCCAACAACCGCCTAAAATACAGCAGGGCAGCTGCACGGTTAACGAGCCTGTAATTAGCTGCAGCAAGAAGGATGAGGATCTGTTCATAAATGCAAAGTTCCCCTTCCCGTCGAGTCTGTGTCCCCCATGAAGCCCTGGGTCTAGAGAGCTGGTTCTAGAACTTGCCATCTCGCCCTGAGGGTGTCAAGTGCAGCGTGGAGAGACCTGAGGGGGAAACAAAGGCCGAGACAGCCGAAAGGACGGAGCCCGAGCGACCCCCGAAGGCGCTGACGCACCTAGGGCAGCCGGGCGGGGGTCCCACAGATCCTCAGCGCGGCTCTTCGCCAGGGAGGGAACCCCGCGGTGCTATGCGCCGCGCCGTCGCACAGGAGGGTCCGAGCCTGGCTCTCCGCAGGGCGAGGGTGTGTCTTCGCCCGCGCGGTGAGGCCCGGGGCTTGGGGGTGGCCTTGAGGCGAAGCCCCGCCCACGGCACCGCCCCTCAGGCGCGCGAGCGGATCCCGCGCGGCGCCAACCCTTTCCCGGGTCATCGCCCCTCCCCTCTTCCGGGCCGCAAGACCCCTGCGCGCCGCTTTGGGGCTGCGCTCTCCCGAGTGCGCGCTCGCTCGCCCGCCAGTCCTCTCAGCGCGCGCTCGGCTGCCCGACGACGCGGGAGTCGCACGCGCCGGACTGAGCTCGCTCCGCTCCCTGTTGCCGAGCGCGGGCCCGTTGAGGCGGAGCCCTCGGTTCCCGGCCAGGACAAGGTCTGGGCCGCCGAATCTCTGGCCGGAGAGCGGCGGCGGCGACAGCAGCGGCGGTGAGGAGACCGGGCCGGGAGAAGGTAGACATGGCGGGGCAGTGGGTATCGGGGGAGGGTGGTCCCGGCGCCCCTGCGGCCACGTCGAAGGCTCGCTGGCGGGCGGCGCACCGGGGACAGGGGAGGGGCGGGGGATGGAACCAGACTGCATGGGCTCCGGCTCGGCGCCAGGGCAGGGTTGGGGTCGGCGAGGGCGGCCCGCGAGGGTTTCCGCGGGACCCTCGGCGGGCGCCTGAGGAAAAAGACGCCGCCTCAGGGCTGCTGCCACGTTTCCACAGTGCGTTACCTTCCCCCTCGGGCTGGGCAGCAGCCCCGCGGCTTCCCACCCTCTACCCACCCCCTTCGCGTCGGTGGGTTTTCTGGAGCCCCGCTTGTTTGGAGAGTCACTCCTCTAGGAAGCCGGGTCCTCGAACCCAGGGCCGCCTGCCGGGGACAGCGGACTCTTGGGCCGGCGGGGCAGGGGCACCCTGGCGAGGATGTTGTCGGGGAGGCCGGGCATTGGGCGCCAGGGCCCTTCCCCTTGAACTTGGGGAAAACCGGGATTGCAGAAGTTGGGCGCAGCTCAAGGCCGTTCTTTCAAGTGTGTGTGGAGATGTCTGATGCCTCCTCACCTACCTCTCTCAAAACCCCAGCGGGAGTGCCTAGCGGCGGTTTTCGATGGCTTCAAAAAGTCCAACTCCTGGTCTCTTGGAAAATTATTTCCCCGCTTAATGGTTTAGAGCCCGCTTTGTGGCGCCACTGAGGCCGGCAGGGGCTCCTCAGCCCCACGGGCCAGCCTTGTCGCGCCCTCCACCTTGGGAACGTCTATCAGGAGAAAAATGTGTTCCTAGAAACAATTGTGATGAGGTTTTCGTTACAAGGGAGGGAAAAGTACAAAGTTATAAACTCCTGCCAGGCCGAGCTAGGTTCCCTTTGGGTTTTGTCCACGCAGCCGTGAGCAGAGGAGCCTTGTGGAACAAAGTAGAACTTGAGGAGCGGCCGCCGCGGTGACGAGGTCCCAGGATGACGTCACCGTGCGATATTTAAAATGGGAGCCTTTTGCTCTGAGTGTGGGTGGAGGACGCCTACTTACTCAAGATGCCTGGGGTCTTGTTGGCCCTGCTTGACTCTAGTGGTCCTGTCCCTGACTGTAACTCTCCCTCTTTGACCTTTTGGTATTCGTAGAATACTGGTGGGAGTGGGCTTATTTTTTAGCTGTTCCGGCCATCATTTCTTCAAACGGGGAAAACAAAGTCCATATGAGTCATCTTGTGTTACAACCAAAAACAACCACTAAGTGGTTCTTTCCTTCCTTCCTATTTATTTATTTATTTGATATGAAGCAGAGCAAACAGATACAAAACTCAGATTTGTGGCACATAGTTGGCAAAAGTAATGAATGAGGAGAATGATCTAAAGATTCAGTAAATTTCTTTAGTGTGGTTCCATGTTTGCTTTGCTGGAGTGGAGGCTAATGTAGTTCCATCAGCAAAACTTTCTTCCCAACCCCTATGTTAAATTGCCTTGTTTTTTTCCCCCATTATATCGTGGTGTAATATAAATGTACCTTTATAAAGTGGAAATGGCTCACATTTTTCAGGGGGAAGCTGTGCAGCAGGCGTGATGGACTGGGGTTACGTGTATTCGCACACTCCTGTGTGGACCCACGCCCAGTGCTTGGAAGGTGAATTGTAGGTGAATTTGGTATTCTAGGGTTCTGGGAGAAAGATTTGAGTGCCTTCCTTTCCAGGATCAGGCTCTCTGTGGCTGCCAGCAGACCTCAGATAACTGTGTAGAATTTATTTAACAGTGAGGTTACTTGTTTGAATTTGCACTTTGAATAAAGGAGTCACATTCTGAAGCGAGACTTAAAGAGCAGTTCGAGAAAAGAAAGCTAACAATCAGCTTTATTTTTTTGGAAATGTGGGAACACAAACTATTGCTAGGTTAGTCAATTTTTATGCTAAACATAGCAGAGGCTGTATGTCTTTAATACGTAACTGGCTCCCAAAAGTGATGTTGCTTACTAAATGCAGCATCTTAATAACTCCGAAGTTACAGCAGCCAGATGAATGAGCTCACTGAGTAAAGACAGAACATACATCAAAACAATCTTAGGACAAGGGTTTGCCTTTAAGGATTAATCAATGATAAATCAGATATGCCATTTTTAAAGTCATTTGAGGCAATCCAACATGCAGCTAAATCTCTGATTATTTCTTTTAGTTTATTTTTCTGTGGGTGACCCTGAATTTCTATTCTCTTAAATATGTCCTAATAGAGCCACCATTTTTTGTGTCTCTTAACTTCTGGATAAATGTATCTCTCTTCCTGAAAGAGTACTTACAGAAACTCAATGCTGTAATTTTTTATGTATAACAGCTCTGAGATTTATATACCATACAATTCACCCATTTAATACGTACAATTCAATGGTTTTGGTATATTCACAAAGTTGTACAATCATCACTATAGTAAAATTTAGTATATTTTTTAATCACCCCAAAAAGTAACCCTGTACTTACTAGCAATACTCCCTTTCTCGGCTTCCCATTTCCCACTAGGCCACTAATCTGTTTTCTGTCTATATAGATTTGCTTATTCTGGATGTTTCATATCAGTGGAATCATACAATATGTGGTCATTTTTGACTGGCTTCTTTACCTTAGTGTGATGTATTCAAGGTTCACCCATGTTGTAGCTTGTATTAGTACTCATTCCTTTTGACTGTTGAATAATATTCCATTACATGTATATACCACAGTATTTGTCCATTCCTTCGTTGTTAGATATACTGTTTTTCCTTTTTAGCGATTATGAATACTGCTATGGGTATTTCTGTATTCAAGATTCACCCATATTGTAGCTTGTATTAGCAGTCATTCCTTTTCATTGCTGAATAATATTCCACTACATGTGTATACCACAGTATTTGTCCATTCCATAGTTGGTCAACATGTTGATTGTTTTTATTTTTTAGCTATTATGAATACTGCTATGGGCATTCCTATACAAGGTTTTGGTGTGGACATACGTTTTCATTTCTCTTGGGCAAATAGCTAGAAGTAGAGTTGGCCAGGTCATATGATAACTCTATGTTTAACCTTTTTAGGAACTGCCAAACTTTTCTGTTATAAAATGTCTCTACGGTACTAGATTTTAAAGTAAACTTTTTTATGTCTTAAAGTTCAAATCATTTCACAGAATTAAATGTATTGCAGCTAAATATTGACACACACAGTAAAAACTATGTCATAGTATCAATTATTATAGTGCTTTTCTTTTACTGATAGCTCTGGTTTTATTTTAGCCAACAGGAGCAATGTGCTCTCTTTACTGAACTTCTTCATGAAGCCGAGCAATAAGATTTTAAAGTAGTGTTTTATAATAAGGCCTTTATGGCATAAAGATAAGTAGATTGTTCTCTACCCCAGATATGAGCCAAAGAAATACCAGATAAAATTGGAAGGAGGAAAGGGAGAACTGTAAAGGAGGTATATCTTACAGAGCTTCATCTTCCCAGTTTTTATATTTTGTTTTTTTGAGAAAACATGTTTTATCTTCGCAGGAGAAAAAATGAAGAACGAAATTGCTGCTGTTGTCTTCTTTTTCACAAGGCTAGTTCGAAAACACGATAAGTTGAAAAAAGAGGCAGTTGAGAGGTTTGCTGAGAAATTGACTCTAATACTTCAAGAAAAATATAAAAATCACTGGTATCCAGAAAAACCATCAAAAGGACAGGCCTACAGGTAAAGGATTAGATTGGACTGAGCAGAGGCTGATCAACCCCCGAGGTGTGTTCAAGGCCAAATGACTGAAGGGTGTGCAGACCATGCCTACAAGTGTTTTATCAGCAAAATATAGAACTCTGGGGTGTATATTTTCTCCTTACTCGTTTTAAAACATAAGTATTTGTTGGTGTAGTCCCACTGTCTGGACACAGGAGGCCAGTGCTGTGGGGTCATAGAAGTTAGTTTTTGTGGTTATAGCCTGGCTCCCAACAGTGCGTTTCTGTTTATCGCAGGTACTTAGGGATTTTCACAATTCTAGAGGACCCCTAATAACCCATTAATGGTCATGGTAGGAGGTGAAAGAAGAGAATCTTGCGTCTAAAAGTAAATTACATGTTATATGTTTTTTGGGGGAAAAAAAAAAAGTTTTATGGACAAAGGGAACCAAGGTTATTAGACACCTGATATGTTCTTAATACAAGAATAATCTCATTTGTATATTTGCAGTAGAAATCAGAGTAACTGTGTAGATGAATGTAACTCACGTGTGGTCCACAACTAGTAAATACTGGCTCTGGAATTTGTTTTTTTCATTTTTTGTTTTTTGTATTGTTTTTGCTCAGTCACTCAGGGTACAGGGCAGTGGTATAACCATAGCTTACTGCAGCCTTAAACTCCTGGGTTCAAGCAATCCTACTGCCTCAAACTCCCAAGTAGCTAGGATTGTAGACATGTGCTAACATACCTGGCTAATTTAAACAAAAAAAAGACTTTTTTTTTTTTTTTTTTTTTTGTAGAGATGGGGTCTCCCTATATTATCCAGGTGGGTCTCAAATTCCCAACCTCATGTCATCTTCTGCCTTTGCCTCCCAGAGCGTTAGGATTACAGGTGTGAGCCACAGTGCCTGGCCAAGGTTCTGGGATTTGAACTCAGGTCTAAATGACCCCATGTTTTCATGGGCTTTCTGCATACCACAGTGCTACCACTGTTTTGGCACTGAGAAGGAGGATACTTCTCACTTGCAGCTGTCTTTTGTACTCTGCTTTATAAGGTACATTTATAGCCTAAAGTGAAGAAGAGCAGACCCCTATAAAACATGCCCTGGCATGCTTACTCTAGTATTTATGTGACTGCTCAGGAACCTCAGTTGAGACTGTTCTGCTAAACCCAGCTGTCAAACATTGTCCCATTTGTGGATGTGGCCTTAAGAAATAAAAGTAGAACAGTGACTATAGTGATAACTACAGAAATTCTCTTTTATTTGTATATATTGTTGTCCTCAAAGTTTCTTTCACAAGTCAACACTCTGTGCTTTGATGTAAGAAGGGCTTCCTTTATGACACTGAGCTCTTGCAAGTACAGGACATTCAAGGAGTCTAGAAAGGAGGAAAACATACTATTTGCTAATTTCTCATGTACTGAAAGTCAGGTGAGCTTGTGTTCTATTGACAAGAGAATCAAGATAGTATATTTTCCTTTTCATTTTTAATCCAAAGAGGTTTCCAGTAAATTGGAAAATGTGGTGAATTAAAATAGAAATGCGCATGCTAACACAGGCTCAAGTCATTTTTTATCTTATTACTTGATTCTCTTAATTTTTTCTGCATAATTTCATTTCTGATCGAGTGAACAGCTTTCGTAAGTTAGAACTGTTGAGGCTTTTTACTCTGATTTAATTGACATTGGATGAAGGCTTTTTGGAAGTGCCAAGCTACCATACTATTACTGAAAAAGGAGGCACTGTCAAGTAAATACTTAAAGGTCAGACAGTATATAGTTTCATTTCCATTAATTCTGAAAACTTGAGAAAAATAGTGAAACAAGATTAAATTGGCATGTGATCAGAATTATCATTACTGAGTCATTTTAAAGCTGTATTTGAAGTAGAAAACTCTTAAGACTTAATAGTGGGTTGTTACTATTATAAAAATGAATAGAATGTAAGATTAACCGGAGTTAGTAGAGACTTCAGTCCATAGAATAGGTGGAAACTCGTCAGTCCATAGAGTAGGTGAAGTGTTCTTTCGCTTACAAAATGTTTATAAGTTGAAATTGTTTTTCTACAATATAAAATGATACTTGTGAAGAGCAATTTGGCAATATTATCAAGATCTGTAAAAATATTCATACCTTTTGAACAGTAAACCTCCTAAGAATCTATTCTACAAGTATAATTGGAAATGCAGACAAATATGTATGAATATGGATGTTTCTTATACTTTGCAGTTGCAAAAATTGGAAAGAACTGACAACATTAAATGATAGAATATTTTAATGCAACTTCTAAAATTTTGTTTTTGAAG